GCTCGATGCCATAAATTAGGTTTATGGTCATGTTTGCAAGAACGTGATAACTGTCAAAACATCTCTACAAAATAGTTATTCTATAAAATATTGTTCTCTGAGGTGCTTTTACATCAGTCGAATGTGTATATTAAATCCTTAATTTTTGTACAGTGATTCGAATATGAGAAATAGTCATTAATAGTGATCTTTTTTCATTTGTATACTTGTCTAGTTTAATAAGTAGTTTTATGTGTAAAAAATAAAATTGTTAATGTCATATTTCCTTAAATGCTATCCTTTTTTATGATATTTAATTCTATTTTTGAAGTTACTTTTGGGCTTTTTTTATGCTGTTTTTTGATCGTAATATTTGAATTTTCCGAAATTAATTTTACCAATCATAGAAAGAATAAAGGAAATAAAATGCATCACTCCCTTTATTATTGTTTTGCATTACTAATGAATTTATTCTTCAAAATTCAGATTCCGGTTTCAGCCATTTAGATTCAAATACCTCAATCTCTATTGGATTTAAAAACTTGAAAATTTTCTTCTTATTAAAAAAATATGTAAATTTGGATTAAAATATTTTGTCGAAATATGTTCTCTTCGGCTGAAACGGACTTTTTTTCTTCATTTATTGTACTCCATCTTTGTATCCCAATGCATAATCTCCCCCAAGAAGAATTGCGAGGAATTAGTCTAATTTAGGTAAATAAAAAACCATTGCTATTAAAAGTAAGCATTTAAATATTTAAACGCAAGAACAATTTATGTAATAAAAATATTTTCTTTGGAATTGATAATCTAAAGGTAGTTAAAAAGCTAATTAATAAACACTTCTTTTAATTGCAAGTTTTCAATGGTTGCAAATATAATTCACTAGGCTCAAAATAAAAACAAGACACCTAAATAATTTTTGATCAAGTGATCGAATTATCACGAACTTAGGTATATACTTTTTAATGATTTAAGGGGCTAACTGTAAATGCACATAAAATAACTAAAAGCGCAGACGATATTTTACGTTACGAAATCAGATACAAATCTTTTCTGAAAAAAGAATGTTCTTCTATTCTTTCAAATTTAAGATTCAAGACTTTTTAGACATAGGGGCTCCGTACATTGAAAAATATTTCCACAATAGTTTAATCAGGGGTGTAATCAAAAGTCAGGACACTTTTATGTCATTCTTACTTTGTCTACATATTTTTTCATACCTCTAAAAGTATTCGAGTAATTAAAAAAATTTTGCACGCAGTTATAAAACTCGTTTTGTCTACGATATTCCCAAAATAAAATAATTTATTTAGTATTTTTAGTACTTAATTCTTTTACTGTCAAAAGAGTTTTGAATTGTAATGCAAAATTTTGCCATTTTTTAAAGTATGTATTTTTAAATAACAAATTTTAAACTTTGAAAATATTTGGTTGAATAGTTCTTGAAATAAAAATAACCTTTCTGAATTCTGTGAAATTTTATATCGCAGAAACGACTTAACCGATTTAGGTCAAATGTTCGAGTTTATCATTTAAAACTTTTCATAGTTTGTTTGATTGTAAAAATTCTGTAAATCTTACAATCTGAAAGCTGTTTGGATATTAAAAATTAAATAAGGTATTTTTTCTTAAATTTATCTTTTGAAGAAAATAGAGTGCAAAAGAGTATGATTATCTTATACAGTATATTATATAGTATAGTGTATTAAGAGGTATGATGAAATACGAAGAGTGGAAAAATAATTAATACTGTTCCAAACTTATGGAGGCTAAAAATCAAAGAAAAAAACAAGTTAAATTAAATTTTTGTGACCATATTTTTTCGATACTCCCTAAATTATGCAGGTCAAAAATCCGAGTCAGTTGAATAGCAAGGTATATTTATAAAGAGACAGCATATTGCATCATTTGCTTAAAATATTAATTATTTTTTGGGTGTTATCTTGAATGATTAAGACTGCTTTTTAATAATTGACGTATTAAAAAGCAGTCTTAATCATTCAAAATAGTAACACTAAAAATATTAATATTTTGAGTCTAAACAATGCAAACAATAATCAAAAAAAAATTTCTTTTTATTTTATTTCACGCATTTTATATACAATACACGATATTTTATGATTTATTTGTTTTTTGTTGAAAAATAAAACTAGTCACATTAAATATCATATTTGTAGGACATTTAGGAATGCTTAAAGATTTACTCTATATATTTAGAAATAATTAAAAGTATTACTAGCCTAGAAGGTCTATTCCTTTTGAGACACATAACCTTAACGCTTTCCAGTGCAGTGTAGCCTGACCACTAGAAATGTAAAACTAATTGCTTTCAAAATTTTTAGCAACTTAAAAGCTTAAGTATGTCGGTGCAGTTGGAATGTGCTGTTTAAGTTCGTAGTTGCTAATGTCCCGTCTGACTAAAAATTTTAACCGAAATTTGCTATTCCAGAAAGGGTAAAATTCTAATGAGTGCGTTATTTTTCCAATCTTGTCTGATTTGGAGTGTACTTTGTTTGGCAGCAAAAATAATTTAAAGATGTACTAGTTTTAAATTAAAGAGACCTATGAACATGGGAAAGAATGCCTAGTATTCAATAATTTAATATAGTTGAAATTTATATTTACTGTTCCCAATTTCACTCAACCATAATGCGGTTATAAAGTATTTTTTTATGTAGATGGAAAATAGGCTCTAATTTTATCTCCACCGGATTAAAGCGTAATATTTTCGTGGTTTTTCCTTTCATGTTGCACAAACTTTTATATCCATCAACTATCATTGAGAAAGTCAAAATCTCGATTCATGAGTCGATGTAAAGTCCTATATTGAGAAACAAAAGTACCGGAATATGGTAAAATTTACCCTTTTTTCCGTTCCTCCCGTTTTTAATTAGATTCATGGTTTCCTTTACCAGGAATGTCATTACCATACAGTACGGTAATTTTACCAGAATTGTTTCCACATGCAAGATAGAACAGTAATTCAATGACAAAAATGATAAATTAATATATTTCAAACGATAATGTATAAATATATTTTAGGTTTCCTTTTGAATTCTTAAAACTTCATTTTAGTTCATGAAAACCAGCCTATTAAATTAAAAGTTATTAGGCATGCTGAAACTATAGCAGTAATTGCTTTCGTTTTGTAAATGATATTAATCAATAATATGACTATTTCAAAAAAAAATACTATAACCTAGCTTTAAAAAAATATTTTTATTAAGTATCAAATAAACTCCTTTTATTGATAAAAAAAACGATACGATATTTTTAATTGAATTTTCTAAAATATTCAATGGATCACAATTATATACTGCCCTTTATACATAGAAAAAAATAACAAAGCATTACAGTAATGCTATTTTGGGAATGTGAAACAGGACAAAAAAAAACAAAAAGAAATGCAGTCTCAAATTGTTTCTGACAACTCTGAAAGAAAGAGTAAAGGAAGATAAAAAAAAAAATCAGATTTCCTATAAGTTAATAATCTGAGAATCTTTTCACTGGAAAATTGAGTCAGGGACAATCTTCATTCTGATAAGCTGTTAAATAAAAAGTAAAATGTAAAAATGAAGTTGCCTTTAAGAACTTTTTACTTAAGTGTCATTACAGATTTTTTTTTAATTTAATTTTATCTTCTACAAAGCATTAATTTTTTTTATAGTTGAATTCAGAAACAAAATAATTACAATTCGATAAATAGATTTAGTATAATGATTTTATAAACAAGTTTAAATTGTAAAAGGCATTTTAATGAAGTGCTTAATTAGCAAAGATAGCATATATCATAATAAATTATTCGTTTCTAATTAATATGTGTATGTCAATACTTTTATATGTTCAATACTTTTTTTCGACGCACCATATCGGTTTTTATATTAGCTATTGGTTGTAATTTCAGTTACTAAATTTAAAGTGCTTATACAAATCAAAACAAGATATTACGAATTTTTTTGTTTTCTTGATCTTTAAATCTTCAATACATTTGAAAAAAGGAAATTTTCTATTTATAGTAAATCTGTTCTTTTTTTATTATAAGTAAACAGTTGCAGTTTCAAATGGGTTGATGCGCTTGTTTAGCAAGCCTGGTCTTATTGCGCACTATTGCTCTGTACTCTATCATACATAACCCTTTCATATTATAATATACACAATACAGTAACTAATTTTCAATTTTATTTACTTAAAAGCTTTGAATATTTAAGTGGGCCATGGTAGCCCAGTGGTTACAGCATCTGATTTTGGTGCAAAAGGGCCGAGGTTCAATCCCCAAAACTGCTAAGACTTAATGACGTGCAATATTACTTGCTTGTTAAATTTGAGGACTCGAATGTCATGTGGTCGCTGAGCAGTACCGGGTGCTTGGATCTGAAGAAAATTTCCTTTCCCTTTATACCTGCGTAAAAATTGAGGAAGTTGTCTCACGAATGAGTCGTGCTGCCATCTATCCGAGTGTTCTTGAGCTAAGTCTCACTTTCACCCTAGTGGTACTCTCTTGTCAAACTAAAGACACTCTTTCGTGACTCAATTTGCAAGGGCTTTCGAGCTCTGTTTGTCCGTCTCATTAGAAACTATAATGATTTCAGTAAATACCATTTATGAGAAAACGCTCATTGTTGCTGGTGTTGTAATTTACTAAATGGTTGTTTGATTATTATTTATTATTGAATAAATTAAAAATTAAGCATTGCAAAAAACTACTTTAGGGTGAAACTATTAAGAATATATTATCATGTATACACTTTATGTGAACTTTCATTAATTAAATTTGAAATAGAAGAAAAATTAAGAATAATTTATTTCACATTCACTATGAAAAAATATTTCAAGAAATTTCATTATGAAAATAGGTTAATGTGTACAGTAATAATACACTATTCAAAGAAGAAAAAAACACCAAAACTGCTCTGAAAATGTTTTATGAAAACATATTTGACTTAAATGTTTTACTAAGAAATATTTGCCTAAAATATTTTTAATATTTGACTTAAATGTTGTTAATGCTTTAATGTTTATGTTATGTTGAGTTGTTTCTAAAGCTTCTGAATATTATTTTACAAAAAATTATGGTTGTTTCAAATACGTTTTATTTTAACGCTTTCGCATGTTCAAATGAATCTAGAGATTAAGTTTAACAAAACAGATGGAATATCAATACTAGGGGCTAAAGTTTGTAGTTTAATCTTCTCCGCGGTAATAATTATGTAACAATGAAATCAGATAATGCGGAATAATAGCAAGGAATCAAGTTCAAACTTTACCCTTCCCAGTAAAGTGAGATTAGTTCAAATTGAAATTCTATTTCCTCAGCCCCGATTATTACTAAACGGTTCTCTACGTATAAATTATTTCCTAGAATTGAGTAGCGTATAGTAAGTAGACTTAGATCTAATATTATATCATTAGTTGTCAAACATGTTCTTATTAGACATAGTGAAACAAATACATATATTTCTTAAATTATATTATATAGTGTGTTTGCAGGATTATGAATTGATATTAATTGAAAAAAAAAATTTTTTTTTCGTTTTTTTGCTTCGTGAGATTTTTTTAAATGTATCTTGGATATTTTCATGTCGCTGATTTCATAACCAGAATAGGTTTCTTACTCCAAACTACACTTTCTTTAAATGACATTTCAGACTATTTTTTGCCGAAAGGTTTAACTTTAAAAACGTTCTATGTGATATGGGATCGCATAAAAGTTGAGTCAAACTTCTATGGGAGTTGTCGTACATCATCAGGAGCAAAACTGTGTAGGAACCCATGCTCTGAATCATACGCCGCAGGGGCATTTCTCTATTATGGATGGTTTCTGCACGTGATTCTGCGTACGAGTCATAATTGGGAAAGTGCCCCTAGCCGCGTACGGCAACATTTCCGAGAATGGGTTCTTAAACAGTTTCAATCCTGATGATGTATCCTAATTCAACTAGAAGTGTGTTGCAACATTTATGCCACCCACTATCACATGTGATAATTTTAAACTTGCACATTACGACAAAAATAGACAAACATTTGTCATTTAGAAAAGTCTGTAGCTTTAAGAGCAAAACTAATTTCAGATTTGAAATTCCCAAACACGAATTACGCAAGATCCAGTGTTTGTATAAATGCAACAAATTGTTCAACAGCGCAATAAATAATTAACCAGTAATGTTCAATTCATTAACATATTTCACGTTTTGATTAGTTCAGTAGAAAATTATACTTTACTTTGTTTGTGTTATTTTCGAATTGTATCTTAATTCTGCATTCTTGTCGTGCTAAAAACATCAAATTAAAAAGAAAAAAAATTTATTTCACTCAAAGCATATATTAAATAGGAAAATTCTGGAAAAATAAAGCATTTTCTAAAAAACTAAACCTTGTGTCTTAAATATGCATATTTAGCAAATTCAGCTGCCCTTTTTAATATTTCGTGACCATAGTTGATCGTGTGTACGTTGATAAGAGTCTTTCAAACGCTGCTAATAATAACTGATGAGATAAAACCCGGGTTTCATGGCCTGTAAGGTTGGGCTAATACGTGTCTAATCTATGTTTATCTTCGTTACATAGCTCATGAACGTATTATCCCAAACCTTTAAAACTATTTTGTTTATTGCGTTATTTGTTTTTTTCTTGTATTAGCCTTGTACAACGCTTATTTTTTGAATAAATACATAATTAAATTTTGATTATTAAAGCTTTAAGCTTGTGACACTCATTTATACTTTGTCCTTTTAACAGAGTAATTGCAAACTCGTAGCTATCAAATGACTTCAATAGGACTTTAATTTTCAGACATCAGACTGATGGGATTTCTGTCACCACAATGATTGAAATTTAAGTTAATTAAACTGTGAAATAATTCTCTGAATCGTTATTTCACTCAGTGATTGAGACGACAGATAATGAGAGAGTTACAGAATCATCTCAAAACCATATTTAATGGTAATGATTCTAACATTTAACTAGAAAGCAATTTAATTATTAACTTTACACACGTTTAATTTCTCCTAAAACCAGAATATTGTTTGCTTAAACAAACTTATTTTCTTTAACTAACGTAATTTTAGTTTTTTTCACACATTTTATTGCATGCTGCATTACCTATAAAAATTACATTTCAAATTATTTGATACAAACATTTTTTTTTACATTTTTTTACACTTGGTGTTTTGTCCCATTGGCCACAGAACTGTCAGAACTGCTACTCTCTTCTTGTTACCCAGTGGGCACCTGTGGCGAAGCCACGGTGGTGGAGCAGCGTCGCCCACGTCACGCAACCACAAACCCGTTTATAGGGCTGGTCACATTCGCACATTCACACAAAGGAGAAATGACATAGAACACAGAGAGAGAGAGAAACATCCATGAGATCCAGAGAGAGCAGGATTCGAACCCGAGGTCAATGGCTCCACAGTCAGACACGCTAACCACTCGGCCACCTGGTCGGCAACTTACAAATATAGGATTCATGTATATTCAGTTTTTTTTATAATCTTCAGTTTTTATAATTCAGTTGTTAGATTCAGATTTTAATCTAATTTTGCTCAAAAAGAGATTTTTGTGATTGGAGTTAAGAACTTCCACAACTTGATAGATTAAAAATTTAAATTAAAAGTACAGGTTAGCAGTAGCCACTCTATTGAGATTCGTCATTTGGCAGATCATTGAAAATGTGCTTCATCAAATGTTAAGCCTAATCGAACCAACACAATGAAAACAGATTGTCTATTCAAATAATCTGGTGAAAGATGAAAACTCTGAGAGACATTACAAAAATTACAGCATTCATATTTTGGAATGACTTTTAACGCTTATGCGTTAGCAGTTAAAGAAAAAAAGAATATTAAGAAATAGACTGCATTGAATAATAATATTATTGAGACTGCATTGAATAATAATAAGTGGACTGTTCTATTTATTAAGTGGTTAGAGAGCCAAAGATACTTTTGAGAATATAGGCAGTATGTAATGCTTATATTGGCATGTTTTTTGTGGTATTTTAATGGATTAGCCAGATGTGAAAAAAGAATCCATTATTTTAACACACAAAAAGTATTTCTCTTATCATTCTACCTCTTTCTAAATTTATTGAATTCAATCTCAAGAGTGAATTTAATCCAAACAGAAGAAAATCAGAAAAACTGCCAAGCTACTTAAATTTGATACACTAAAACGTCCAATTCGATTTTGAACATAAGCTTGTGACGTGAAATTTCAACTTCATTTTCAGTTTTTTTAAACCAATGCTTAATATTGAATGATAAGAAACGGAATCCTGAATCGCTAAGCAATAAAATATCCAATGCTAAAGTCATTTTTGTAGTATTAGATATTTTAAATATGAAGGGTGTGCTTCGTTTCTTGAATCTCCGTGCAAGAAATAGTGAACAACTTGAAGCATGCAGTTTTCAGAAAAAATATGTGTTATAAAATATTCGACAACCTAACATAAGTAACAATTCCCAGAACACATTCTTATGAATAAAAACTACTTTGAAAATATCCGGAAAAGAAAGACAGTTTGAATCGAATATGGCCTTAAGAAATTGCGATGAAGGCAGAAAAGAAACTGTTTCTTCAACAAACTACGGGCGAAGACCCACAATGCATCGGAAATGAATTCAGGAAGTCACGCAAATCCAAGAATTGGGATAAAAACCTTTCCATGTTCCCTCTGTCGATCAACTGAACGGTATTCAGTAAGTCTTTTATCAGGCTAAATTGAGTTATTCTAACGTTTTGGGTTGAGTTCGAATAACGACATAACCAATTTATTCTTTCATTTGCTTTTCTGGAAGCAAAAATAGAAGCTCTATTATGTATTCCAGAATGTTCCGCCAGGTGGAAATAATTTTCTTTAGATTGATTGGTCAGACCGTTGTGAATTGTAACTAGTCATTTATTTTAAATCTCATGTTAGGTTTTATTTTCAGAAAAAAGTTTCAACATTATTTGATAAAAATGTCCCAAGCCGAAGAATTTAGGAATATAATCAGTAGGGTAGCCTTATTCTTCAACTTTTAAAACTTTTTTTTATAGTTTATTGCTTACTACCTTATCTTGTTTCAATTAAGAAAATAGATAAATAAATTATTCTTTGTGCAAAATTTTAGGTTAATCGACAACCAGCATCAACTATGAAATATTGGAAAATATGATTTTTTTCAAGACTGATTCATTTCCAGGCCTATAGCATTAGATGGAGGTGTAATAATATTGTAACTTTAGCCCAGAAGGCCATGTTTAGATTTTTTGTTATTTTTTTGTTATCTTACTTTCGGACAGATTTTTATTGTCAGTGACTTTTATTCGTAACTTCTATTATATTTACTGAAATTTTTTTTTCTCTGATTTTTTATGTTTTTCTTTTGAAGCATGATTAAGCCACGAATCTCTGACAATTATGGCTAAAGTGACAATGGTAGCAGACGCAGATGTCAAAGAATTAAAGAATTGGAACGAAGAATTGGGGTTTTTTCTTTAACAAATCATTAATCTCTGTCTTGTTTAAATCTCGCAGCAAAAATACTTTAGAGATTTTCTGCCACCAAATATTTCCTCATAATTTGTGTAGATATTTCTGACCACAAAGGTAAAATGAAAGAACTTGGGTAGCAGTTCTGAATGATGCAGAATGTGAGAAAATACAAGAACATTTCTTGAAAACATGAACATAAAAAAACAATAATAAACAGGAAAAAATAATGTTCAATTTATATGATTCTATATAAATTGTTAATTCTGGTTCCGTTTCAGAAATTAATGTGTTATTGAAAATAAAACATTATAATTTAAAGCATTTTAATTAGTGTAATCACTCTGCAACTGCACGATTCAAGTAAAATTTTGCACTGCCTATTTTTTTATTTAATTCTTGTTTATTTATGTTTTTGGAACAAGATTAAGGGGGGTGGAGAATCAAAATTTTAACTTTTGGAAAATAGTGTACTAATTATACAGTTTAAAGGCACTACTTAACTTCCACTACTATGATGTAAATTTTTCAGAACTAGCTGGATGTTGATCTTTTTATTGCTCAAGCTTTTTTGTAATTTTGTTCTCTAACAACATATTTACATGAATGTGAATAAAAAGATCAAGTGAAATTGATATATTAAGCACTTGGTTCTGAAAACGAAAACATGACAACGTGAATCTGTGCCTTAATTTGTGGGTAATGGCAATCAGATAAAAATATAGTTCAGAAATTGAAATTCAGACAAAAGGCCTTTTACAATAAAAATAATTACAGTAAAACATTGATTATAGTAAAAACTAAATAAGAAATTTTAAAAATGAATTTGTTTTTGTTCTATGACTTCACACTTCTGAAAAGCTCATCCTAAATATGTGTTTTACGTGCCTCAATGAAATCAAA